AAAACTTCCACAATATTGAGGGCTGAGTATGAAGTTGCCTGTAGTATGGAGAAAAAACTTCCATCACTGATCTTGGCTCCAACATCAAATGCCTTGGTATTGACACATATAATGGGAGATGAGACTCCAGAAGATCCAGGATAGTACTGAGGCACCTAATAGAACAAGTACAGATCTTGGTACTGAGAATGCATATACCCAGTACTGATAAAGGAGATCTATTCCCCACACTATTTTGGGTCATATGTTATTTTCACCTTCAAGAATCCTTTCTCTGAGATTATCACTATGTGATTACTGCTGGCTTTCTCTATGTCCAGCTTCTGAACCAGCAGAAATGGTTCTAGGCTTCCCAGTGTTTGACAAGCCACTGCTGGACCAGGCTTACCTAATAGCATGCTATTAGATATCTCTTGGAGCTGATCTCTACCACTGTCAAAGGAGAGAAAGAGATCACCTTCCACATAAGCTTCTTTAGACAGTCCACTTATATCAGACAAGCTATAAGGACTATTGGCAAGAACAGAGATGGGATGGAGTACCAACAGCATCTTATTTCCCCACCAGGGGACCTTTCATCATTAATCTCTAATGAGCAGTATTGGCAACTTGGTGTCATTTCAGGACCACTAGGCAGTAATGGCCCATTAATTGAAGATGTCTGGGGTCTACCCTGACTACAACATCTTTATAACTCAGTCAATATTGAGGCATAACTTTCATTGACTTAAATAAGGGGAAAAATGATGTGAGAAATTTAGATTTTGGCCAACAGTGCACAAAAGGTATAAACACTATATATCTAAATGTGAAGAGTTAAAGATAAACTACTACCACCTTTTAACTGTGTCCTTTGGTGTGTACTGGTACCATATTTGAGTCCAGTGCACTATACTGGGCACTATCAAGTTCAGAATCTATAGTAATTCAGAAACCCTATAAGTACTGGGAAGTCAGAGCAATGAAATAAACCAATTTTTATCTGAGTGAGGAGCATAAAATACGTTTGGGAGGAGGAAGGATTTGTGAGGGGTTGGGTGCTCAGGGCACCCCAAGATTTTCATGACATTTCAAACCATTGGCAAGCCCCGTAGCACCCAGCCTGTTGGTCACAAGTGGGGGGCAAGCCAGGGCTCTAGCAAGGAGGTGAAATCAACCCCTTTCCAGAACAGGGGTTGAAAAGCTGTAGAGATCTTGGGGGTCCTGGAACACCCTGCACCCAAGGAACCACAAGCAGGGGGTCACACAGCCCTCTAGTATCTGACAACCTCTCCACTCCCATCCCTATCCCAAATGAGCCTAGGCTCCTGCCAAGTGAGGTCCATTTTCTGTCATGGGGTCCAGGTTCACCCCCACACATACATCTGTGCATGCCCAGTCAAGAAGCTACCACAAAGATTTTTGTAAAGTGCAATTGTATTCTTTATTAAACTCTGTCTTATTTTTTATTTCTGAGAAGGGGAAGAGAAATTGCAATTGGATGCCATAATGTCTTCCTCTTTTTTGGCAACCAGCTAATCCAGGTTTTCCTCTCTTTCTAGTGGAATCTTGGGGAAACTTTAAGCACTGGAAGGCTTGATCTGGGTACTCTACCTCCTCATTGGTGGGTCAGCAGCAGTGCAGCCCCTAGAAGGTGTGGGTTCTACTCAGAACCCATAGCAGTGTACATGTGGACACTTCTGACCATGGACAAATGTGAACAGATTTCCAATTAGTGACATTTTTGGAATGGGGCAACTGTGATGTCTGCCTGTATTCTGAGTTGAATGATATGAAATCAATTACATAAAATGCGGTACTCCCTTTCAACCAATAGGGGCCTTCTTCATCCTGGAGAGTAATATATGAATAAATATTAGTTTATACATGAACACAGCTCACTCTTGTGGAATTTTGTTGCAGTTCCTAAACTGAGTAATCTTTTCAGAAACACCATGTAAAACTATGTTTGTACTGGGCATCAGACAGATTTCCATACTCCTAAATCAGGACTGTTCATCTTCTAAGTGGCTAGGAGCTGCATGCCCCACAGCCCACACCAGCAGGGGCCATACACTGTGGGGGCCATGGGCCCCCCAGATTGCATGTCATATACATATGTGGGTGGGTACCTCCCACCCCATTGCACCATGTGCATGAGCAGATGGGTGTCCCCCAAACCTCTACACCAGGGGTGGGTAATTATTTGAGGCCACGGACCTCATAGAGAGTTTTGATGAGCTGTCATGGGCTGGGTCAGTGCACCCCCCCCCGCAACAACTCACCAAAACTCCCTATTTGGGATGGGACTATAGTGGGGTGGGGAGTGGTGTTTAGGATCAGGATGGGCAGGAGGCTAGGATCATGGGGCATGGCTGTGGGGAAGGGATGTGCAGGGCCAGGGCTCAGGGCAGGGCCACGATCCACTGCTTGCATACCTCTGCCCTGTGTGAGATGTGTGGGTGGTGTGTTGGTGGGGTGTGCATGGGAGGAGGAGCGGGGGGCACTGCCTAGGTGCTAGGTCCTGGGAGCCGTCCAGGAGGGAGGAAAGGAGGGACGGGGCAGGGGGTGTGTGCAACAGAGCTTGCCTGGGTGGTGTGGTCCACAGCTGCCCCTGTGGCTGTCTGCATGGGGCTGAGAACTTTGTGGTCCCATCCTGGGCAGCCAGCGCCCTGCTCCTGCCCGCACCCACCTCAGCCAGCATACACAGCTTCTAGTGGGGCTGCTCCTGCTATGGCTGCAGCTGCCTGGGTGCTGGTCAGCTCCTCTCATCTCCACCAACAGCTTTTCCTTTTGCTCCTGCCCCTGTGCATCACTCTGGGTGGGGAGGAAGTTTCAGCTGGGTGGCTCTTGCCCCAGTGCACAGTGCTCTGGCTCCAGCTCCCAGCTGGCTTCTACTCACTCTGCTTTTCCATGCCAGGAACTGGAGCCAGACCCCCACGTGTTGGGGCAGGAGCTGCCCAACTGCAACTTCCTCCCCACCCAGAGTGGTGCACAGACACTGCTGGAGGTGAGAGGAGCCCAGCAGCACTTGGGAGGCAGCCCTGTCAAAAGCTGTGCACACTGGCCTGGGCCAGGGCCAGGGCCAGCAGACATGGGCAAGATTGCAGCACTGGCTGCCTCAGGCAGAGCTTGGGCGCATGCGGAGTGCCATGGGGACAGCCATGGGATGGATCCAATGAGTTGGTGGGCTGCATCTGGCCCACAGGCCATATTTTTCCCACCCCTATTCTACACTCTGCAGACAAATACTTCCCCACCTTGCTGTACTGTATGTGTGGAGGTGTGGGCATGCCCATCCACCACTCCCTACATGGTGCAGGCCTCTGCCTCATCTGTAGCTACTTGGCTCCTCTGGCACTGTGCTGCATGAGCATTCAGGCTGCCAGCTTGCCCAAGACCATGGGCTGTGCTGTTGCCTGTCACAACCCAAAGTTGTGGTTTTTTGTTTTTGTGTGCTTCGGCACTGCTAAATTATGTTCCCGCCAAATTGCAGCTTCTTTGCACGGTGGAGTTTTCTGCTGCAATAGAGGAACCCGCGTGCAAAAGAGTATTTCCCACCGTTTGTAGCCTTCTTTGCATGGTGCATTTCTTTTGCATCATAGTGATGCACGGTGCAAAGGAGTTCCCGCCATTTGTATTTAGATTCGTGCCACATTATTGGCTGGTTCTAAATGTAGGCATACGTGGCGGCTAGCTATTGGCTTGCTAGCTGTATAAAAGGCTTGGGTAGTTTCCGCCCAAGTCGGAGAGAGAGGAAACCTGGAGAGATACAGAACTCGCCAGGAGGAGGAGACTTCTCGCTGTGCGAAGATCTCCAAGCGATGTGGACCCTTGCGGACCCAACGCACCTTTCTTAAGCAGGCAACGGAGGTCTGTTTAGCTTCTAGCCTCTCCCTGTCACCGAGCGCAATCCTAGATGTATCCCTATCCTATATACCCAATTTTCGAACCCACGGAGTCTTAACAGCTCCGGGGGACCTGGGAACCGAACAGAACGGTCAAAGAACCGAGTTTGTCAGAGTCCTCCAACGAGGATTCAAACGGAGCTGCGCCTGGAAAGCTGTCCAGCCTACACTGCGACCACCTTGGGTGTAAGTAAATAATCTTTTCAATAAACCATTACGCCTCCGTAACTGATTCTAGCTTGTGCGTACCTTACCGCCCCGCGGTTTTCTTCGGCCCCGCGTGCCCGGGCTGCTGGCCACAGTCCGCGTGCGCAAAGACGGGCCCGGCTCGCACATGGCGAGGATGGGATCGGGAGCCGGCCCGCACATTGCCATGGGCAACTGCCCCTCGGGGTTGGGTCAGGCAGTAACAGAAGTGAGGGGGAGCCCCAAGACCCGGGCTGCTGCTGTAGCCAGACTGAGGAGTAATGGTGGCTGAGTGGGAAGCCCAGGGGTTACATTAGACAGCCCTGCCATTAGTTACTGTGACCTTTGACCATTATATTTTCTGTATGTATTTTGCTTCTCTAGGTCTCATCCTGTTGTTCTGCTGCTGTAATTCAGTTGTTTTTTCCAACGCAGTTTCCAACATCATCTTAATTTAAAAATGTGGAATTTTTTGTATCCCTATGATTATGTTTCCTGGAGCCAAATTATTTTCAAGTCTGGCTTTAAGAAATGCAAGAGATAAGCAACTGCTTTGTAGACACTTGGTGTCTTCAGCAATTTACAGCATGATTCCCAGAAAAGTGGGTCAATGCTTGAAGTGACAGAGGAAAGCCATGTTTCAGTTTTCTTCTCCATGTTTTTGATGGCAAGAAAGAAGTAAAGGCAACTTTGATTTCTGTTACCCTCTGCAACTTGGCCTGTACCTTGTACAATCTATGGTTTCCTTTGTGTACTAGTCATTTTAACTATTAATTCAAACAAATAAATAGCACGAATATAAGAAGACAAAGGTCCTCTTGCATCAAATGTAAATGTCATGGAGATAGAGTTGGGGCAATGGGAAGAAGAGATTAAGAAATGAAGAATTATTCAATTTTCTGTGCCCCTTTTGCTTGCCAAGGGTTGTGAAGGTAGTTCAGACTTGCTGTTATGATGAATATCCTATACAGAAAAGCAAGGCATAAGAAATCAGGATTTGCTGCTGCTGCCTTTACTTGAGTGCTGGAATTTTCTGGCAGGGTGGTGATGTAGCATGAATGCCAATTGCTAAAATATAAAAGATAATGAAAACAGGGAAAATACCACTTGCAAATAGAAAAAAAATCCTGTTTTTACTAACCTTGGCAATGTGGCACAAAATTCATGATTTTATAACAACTTTTACGTAGATATAATGTAGCATGCTCTGCCTTCAGAGTTAGCATCGGAACTTGTTCAACAGATACTAGTCGTCTTTGTGCAGGAAAGAAGGCTCGTTTAATAGGTGCAGTAGGCTTGTAGTAGACTCTATTTCTGGCTTTGCCACAAGATCCAGCAACATCCGATGGTCAAGGGAAGTAAGTCTACAGCAGATGCGTCCCTGGCCACCACCAGTCTGAAGGGGGCCAGCTGAGACCACCTGATGGAAGCAAAAGCAGGGGACGGATTCAGTGCCCTCCCAGTCTTGAAAGACTGTTAAGGACTTTGATGCATATGCAGAAGGAAGCAGAAATACTATGAACCTCATGTTTCCTAACTTTGAAGTCCTTCACTGTATTGACTTTCTTGTAATTTAGTCTTGCTGGAATAATTTCTTAAGACATTTAAAGGCTAAAACGCAATCCTACTATGTGCTTCTATAACAACCCTCCATAAGGCCGGGTTAGCATGGTCGCAATTTCTACAACAGCTACAAGACTAAGTCCCGCATGAGCTGGCAGCAGCAAAAGGCTGTTATAGCAGGGAAACAACAGATTGATAGCATTTCTGCTCCCTTGCACACATGCACTGTAATGAATCTGCATTGGTTTTTCCACTGCCTCACTCATGTTGTATTCCCTACAGGACAGAGGGTATATGGCAGGGGCAACTTCCACGGAACTTCGATTCCCATTTTAGAGAAACGGAAAATGAGGCACTGGGAGGTGGAGTCGTTTCATCTAAAGCCCCATGCATATTTGTCGCCCCAACACGTATGACATTGTATTAAGAAAAAGGTTCAAACTGTAGTTGTTCTAGACTAAAATGATGCCGGGAGGAGAGGGGCCGAGGGACGGGCAAGACCCATCCTCCCGCCTCTGTTCTCCTCCTCCCCGGTGCCCAAACGCGAGGGCCTCACACCAGAGAGGAGGTAAGCGCAGCAGCCACCCCGCATCCTAGCCCAGCCCTCTCCGCGCCGCCTCGGCCACTTGCTCCTCCGACAAGTACCACTCGCTCCATTCCAGCCCCGCCCACTACGAGCCTGTAGCTCAGCCTCTGACCCTCTTAGCCAATCATGCTAGGCCAGGGGCGTGGTCTAAGCCTCTCCCGTCCCAATCAGATCCACGGGCTACACAAAGTGGCGCTCTTTGCACGCGCTTTCCGATCCAGAAATAACTGCCATCAGCATGATCCAATCAGGCTGGGAGGGAGGCGGGATTCGCTCAGGACATTGGCCAATAGGGTGGCAGAGGGAGGCGTGACCGGTGGGGTGGGCTGGGCAGTGCGAGACTGACAGAGGCGGAGTCCAATGGCGCGGCCAGACGGGCGGCTGCGTGAGGCTACAAGAGCCAATGGGCAGTGTGCGGGGGCGGGCTAAGAGGGCTCTGAGCCTGGGCGCTGTGATTGGGAGAGGCGGAGGGAGCCGGGCCGAGCCGGGTGTGCGCCGCACGAAAATGCACTCGGATGCCGCGGCTGTCAGTGAGTGGCGGGGGTGGCGCGGCCCGGGCTAGGGCTGGACCGAGGGCGGAGAGGGGAGGGAGGCAGCGGGTCCGGGCCCTGTGCGGGCTGCGGGGCCGGGCCGGGGCGGGAGCCCTGGGGCCGCGGGGCGAGGCTGTGACGCACTTTCCTGGCTTCGCTCAGGGGCGCCGGGGCTAGGGCTGGGGCGGGGCCGCGGAGCCGAGCGCGGGGTGGGGCCGGGCCGAGCCGGGCTGCGTCCCCGGTTCCAATGTCCGGCGGGGGGCCGGGCCGTGGGGGCCCGGCGGAGGGGGTGGGGCTGAGCATCCTGCCCAGGGGGAGCTGAGGGGGGAGGGGCAGCCGGGGTAGGAGCTGCCCCAGGCCGGGGATCTGTCTGGGGCGGAGGCAGGCAAGGGTCACCTCAACCCACCCTCCCAGTGCTGCTGACTTCCACATAGTGTCCCATGAGGGCCCTGGCTGCTAGGCTGGTGTCACAGGGTTGAGAACATGTGCTGGCCTTCCCTTCCTGGGGATTTACTTATCCCTGGGGCAGAATGGGGTTTGGAGCAATCCTGGTGAGTCTGACCCCAGTCAGGGCCTGACCATCAGCTTGTTCAGTCTCTCCTTCAGAATCGGGGAGGGGGCTAAGAAACACAGATTTGTTTCAGCCACATAGGGTTTGATTGTTCTGCCCAGTCTGATTCTTGTCATTATTTATATGATTTATAATAACGTCATTCTTTATATTCAGGTAAGGCCTGGGAGCTAATGGATGCTTTCCTCCTGGAAAGGAGGATAGAAATGAACTTGTAATGAGCATAGGTCAGGGGTGGCCAACCTGGGGCACGTAGGGCAAGGAGTGGCACAGGCAGCCTCTTGTGTGTGGCACTTGACTGGTTGGGGGAGGGACAGGTAATATACATCACCAGATGCAGCAGATCAGGTCGTGAGCACAGGGCCAGAAGGCCAGAGAGTGGGCGTTTGGGGAGGGAACAGCATGCAGATCAGGTTGGACAGAGGAGGGGGATTGGGGTGGCTCTCGGAGGATATGAGGCTAACTTGTGGTGCACCTGTCAAAAAGGTTGGATCCCACTGACCTAGTTAATGATACACAGTTCGTTTTGGTGAATAAAATTCTCTTTTGGTCTTTGCAGGGAACAGTGTGTACCACCAAATTAACAGTAATAATTATCTCTCAGGATTTTCTCCACAATTCACATTTTGCCAACAAAAAAATAAACATATACTGTATGTTCTGTTCAGTCTTGTCAGAATGTATCTTGCTAAGAAGAAAAAATAAACTGCAAACTCTTATTTTTAAGCTACTAGTTATAGCTGACAAACAGGGCCCAGGTCCCTTCATTTATGACAACATCGGTTATACGATGATTGCTGAAAATAATTTTTAAGTATAATTCTCAGTGGAATACTACCAAATTTATGTTTTTGTTCTGTAGCTGCTAATTGCTGCCCTCTCTTCTTACCTTTCTGTATCTTGTCCTGACAGTTAGGAGAATGCCTTTCTTTCTTATTCACTCTCATAAACTATTTGGGCCTTCTAATCTAGCCTTGCCTAACAAAATAGCTTTGCTTTCCAAATGTTGACATTATGATGGAAATAAATAGATGTTGCCCTGGGCTGCCCTTTGGGCTGCTTTTGTATAACTTGATTTCACTTCATCGAGAGGCTTAAATGATCAGAAATGCCAGAAAAATACTTTATCTTCTGTAGTCTTGAAAATTATTAGCAGTGACCATTTTTTCCATGGCAGTTTGTAGCCTTGCCACTCTATACTTAAATATAAATGTTTTCCTAAATTCCAATATTTGTTTGGTATTACCTTTTACTGATATTTATCTTGTAAGTTTATATAATTTAGGCTCCCTGCTGCTTCTGTTTCACAGCTTAGGAAGGATGAAAGCTTGACTAACATCTTTCCCAGCTATTTAGTTGATTCACTAAAGATGTGATTAAACAAACTTTGATGTCTTGCATATTTCTGGGATCATGATTCCCAGCTATAACAGCACTCCATCCTTCCTACATTATCAACTGTCTTTTCTCACTTATTGATATGGGTGGCAGAGAGTGAATTTGCTGTTCTCTATACTACATACCTTTACATGCGACTCAAGTCTTTACCTAAACCAGACAGTTCTTTATTCTTTCTTACTCTTTCCTCATAACTTTCAATTTTCTACATTTCTCTTCTTTTCCTATGATATGTCAGTCCTTTCTGAGGAAAACTTAATCTTCCTTCCCCAACAAACAATTTATCTTCTGCAAGTTCCCTACAACTGAGAGAACCTCTCTTTAATTGTTTCACATGCCACATAATGAATTTAGAGTCGCAAATGAGGTGACCTTTTTCTCTACTCCTACTTGTCACCTTGCTATATTCTTTTGAATTGGGCAGGATCTGATTGCATGTAGTTTCAATACTTTATTTCAGGTTTATCTGACAACTAACGCTTTAAAATACCATCTCTCTCTCTCCAGATTTTGCTTTTGAAAACAATTTTAGTATTATTTATCCTCTCTGTTTTCCTCTCAATCTTGTTGAATTTTTTTTTTTTTTTTTTTTGAGGGGAGACCCACTGATTTTTGTCTTTCCTTTGCTTCCTTAAAGTTACTGTAAGACTATCAACTGTACATGAATTTACTGCTTGGAGAGAAAGGAAAGAAATGCTAGAAATAGACCTTGTTTTTATCTAACTGCTTATTGCCATAATTGATTCTAACTGAATTATGAGCTAGCTGTATCACACTACAATTTGGTAATATTATCTCAGTTGGGAATGTTGAGAAAAATTATATGATGAGTATATAAGTCATGGCATCTGCAGACGCAGAAGCAACTACCTAAAATTAAAAAGCATCCATTCTTAAGCCTCGTTGATGCACACATTTTGACTGGTTTTAATTAAACCAAATGTAAAACCATTCTGGATACTTTTAGTTTTTGGTTTAAGAGTGACTCTATTTTAATTTATCTCAAATCTCTTCTTGATCAAATTTTAGGTAAACTAAAATAAATCCATTGTAATCTGAAATAATTGAACATGTAACCTTTTGCACTAGTTAAATCATCTCGATTTAATAATCATGCCTGAGATTAAACCCGAACAGCTTTACTTGCAGATGGGGCATACACTAATTCTCAGGACCCTTTTTATCCTTCAAGAACAGAACTCTTCCTCTTTCCAAAAGAAAAAAGAAAAGCAAACGGGGGTGGAGAGGGTGAAGGTGTGAGGGTGGAATTGCGGTAGTTAGTTGCTTATCAATACTACACTTAATTTGCTACTGTAAAATGAGAACTGCATCATTTCTAACTTGATATGTACACAGTACTGTTAGGTATCTCTGCAATAAGTATAAAGTCATTATTTTTGCATAATGATAAATACAGCTACCATTAGAGTGCGCACTAAAGTACTTACGTGCATTCTTTGTCTTGTTATTTTTCCCTGCTGTAGAATGGTGAAACTAGAAAGCATCAATATTGCAGATTTTTAAACATAAAGGAATGTTCTATCTGTAAGGCTCAGAAACATGTAAAGACCTCAGGTTATAATATAAATACAGAGGAAATGCACATTTCTAGAGAGGGCCCTCAGAAAATGAAAGTTCCTATGCTGAAATCGTTATATAGTTAACATTGTACAACATTAAGGGCAGCAGTATATACTGGTCTATATCCAGGCTTATTTATATACTATTAAAGAGTCTTATATTTATTATTATAGAATGTAATAATTCTAAGCAAAACTAGCCATCCTATACTAAAATTAAGCAGCTCAGTTAAGCCTATAATCGTGGAAATTCTGATATAGCTCAAGTTTTTCCTGTGACTTTTCTAGTCTGTGTCCATATCTTAAAAAAAACACATATTCCAATTCTGAATTTATACTATGATTTTCATCTATTTCGTCAAACTCAAGATTTGTAGTTGCTAGCCTGCTTCTTGATGCTTTTGGATATATATTTCAAAACAGTGACCAGTTTATTTCACATACTACAGAAGATGCAAAATCTGAAGCAGACAAGACGCAAGAGGAGCCCAAGGTTCTATTGCATGAAGGCTACCAGTATATCTGGTAGAGTCCCTGATTACTCTCTTGGACTGAATGCCTGAAAAAGTTGTGTTCTGCAAAATTTGAAAGTACTTTCCAATATGCAGTCAAATGTATGTTGCTTGTTTAGTAATCCAGTCATGCCACAACCATATTATTATTCCTAAGTTTACTACTTTTGAACCTTGGATCCAAGCGTTTTGCAATAATATGAACTGATTGACAGCTATATTTTTCCTACCTACAAATAAAATCCTTTATTTTTACTACTTTGACTTGAGTGGAGATCAAACTTAGAAGCTCAAAACTAGTTCACTTTATCTTGTCCATAAATTGCGGAAAGTTTGACAAATGCTTTGTCTGATTCATGTGCAGTGTTTGCTGAAGTAATTTTCTGCAGAGTCTCTAGAGAGTTCTGCGAGTGAACTCAGAAGACATCCTCACGATGTACAGTGTGATGTACCCCTTTTAACTACCTTAAGATCATCAATCACTGTTCATGAAGAGCTGCTTTGTTTCTTAATCAGGATCTGCATGCTTTCCATCTTGTTTTTCTAGAATACTTTAATGCAACTATTTCATCTTCCCATACTTTTCTTTTTTCTGTTACTACTTACAGACTGCCACTGTAACATGAATAGTTTCCCTGTATTTCTTTTTTTTTGGTCTCTTAGAGTTTTTCCTGTATTCTCAACTTCATGAAATTATTGACACACAGATTTAGGCCCTAGAAAAAATCCTTTTGTAGTAGTATTTGAATAGTTATTCATTATGATGTCTCATGATGGCTTTTATATTACTGGCACTGTTAGCAGAGCAAATACTTCCCACTTCCAGTCATTTGTAGTACTCTACATATTTCACAACTGATACACTGTTCAGTACATCTGTCCTCTCCTGTTGTAATGCTGGTTTAAAAAATAAAAATAAAAAATAGGTGTGTTTTTTTTGCTTCCATCTGTAAATAACTGCCTGGCAAAGTGCTTCATTTACGGTGGGTTTTTTTCTCCCTCACACAGCTTGCAGTACACCTTTGTATTAGGAGTGAAGAAAAGGCTTGCTCCAAGAATATTTGCTGGGTAACTGATATGATGTTCTTAACGGTGGAAATTGTTGGCAAGCATCATTTACATTGATTGAATACCAGAAGTGTGCATTTGCTTGTGTTAGAGGTTGGTTATTTTTTTTTTTTTTTTGCAGACATTCAGGTGTCAGCTTATTCAAAAATGAAGTTTCATAGTTGGTAGGGTCGGAAGGGACCTCAGGAGATCATCTAGTCCGACCCCCTGCTGTGGCAGGAAAGAGTAGTGAGATCAAACGACCCCGGCCAGATGTTCATCCAGCCTCCTTTTAAAGACCGCCAGGGTAGGAGCCAGCACCACTTCTTTTGGAAGTTGGTTCCAGGTCCTAGTCGCCCTGACAGTGAAATAGCACTTCCTAATGTCTAGCCTGAAACTGCCCTCTGCTAGTTTGTGTCCATTGTTTCTTGTAACTCCCGGGATTGCTCAGGGGAACAGGGACTCTCCCAATGCCTGCTGGTCCCCCTTGACTAGTTTGTAGACTGCCACTAGACCCCCTCTCAGCCTTGTCTTTTGGAGGCTGAACAGGTTCAAGTCCCTCAGCCTCTCCTTGTAGGGCCTGCCCTGCTGACCCCGATCATGTGGGTGGCCCTCCTTTGGACCCTCTCCATATTGGCCACATCCCTCCTGAAGTGTGGCGCCCAAAACTGGACACAGTACTTCAGCTGCGGCCTGACCAGTGTCTCATAGAGGGGGAGGATCACCTCCTTGGACCTGCTTGAGATGCATCTGCGGGTGCACGACAAGGTATGGTTGGCCTTCCTGACGGCGTCCCCACTTTGTCGGCCTACGTTCATTGTGGCATCGATGATGACTCCAAGATCCTTTTCTGTCTTGACGCTGGTGAGAAGGGAGTTCCCCAGCCTGTAGGTGTGCCACTGGTTCTTCCTCCCCAGGTGCGTTACCCTGCACTTGTCAGTGTTGAACCCCATCCTATTCTCTTCGGCCCAGCCCTGTAACCTGTCTAGATCTGCTTGCAGCCTGTTCCTTCCTACTAGGGTACCCACTTCACCCCACATTTTAGTGCCATCTGCAAATTTGAACAGGGTGCTTTGTACCCCCTCGCCCAAGTCACTGATGTGTTGTGAGTCTTGGATATGAATTGAAAAGTCCGTTGTTTTCTTGATGACTGAAGAGATGAACTTTAGTATATACAACACTTCCAGATAGTGATGTCCCACAAGCAAAAGGGGGTTTTGATTAAGAGAACTTATTACAAACATAGCCATTGTTGCTGTCATTTGCCGCGCATTCTTCTTGAACTTCATTTACACTCAGGAAGAATATTTTTAATGTCTGCAAGACATTTCATATATGCAGAGATATGCTTGGGTCATCCTTTTGTACTTGAGACTACATGCTTCATTTGGGAATATTTACAATATACAGGTCTCTCTTTTTGATCTATACACTTTTAGTGTAGAAATGCTTCTTTGTGTTAGAAGACAGTCACACTGCCTTTGGTGGATAGGAAAGAAAATGACGAGCTCTTTCATGCTAAAGCTGGCTTCTGTTGTGTATCTTAGTCAGGATTTGGTGACAGGATCCATTCCAGAGCCCTCAAAGTTCTCCTTCAAGGCTTTGTGTGCAATGGTCTTTTACCATCTGTTTTCAGATATAGACAAACATTTTAGCTACTTTAAAAGGGGAGGGGAAGGTGCTGTTTGCAAACCTGCAGGAGCAGTAGTTATAAACTAACTGATTGTCTGCATGATCCTGTAACACATAGGAGCTAGCAAAATTGCTCTAACTTTGATTGACATAAGCAAGGTTAAAGTTGGAGTGGTTTTGTTACATGTGTATCACTACAGAATCATGCAGATCTCATGGTTGTTTCATAACAGCTTATATATCCTTTGATAGCAATAACAATTGGTACTTCTGTCTGTGCCCTCAGTGATTCTATGCAAGCAGACAGGTATATATAAGCTACACTGTTCCCTTGCAGTACATCGGGGTGGGCAGAATATGGCCCATGAGGCTATTTTATCTGGCCCGCAGGGCCCCTAAAAAATTTACAAAATTAATCTTTATCTGCCCTTGGTTCCTGTCAAAAATGACGTGAATCAAGGGCAGTAGGACCCAGGGGAAGCCCAGCGGGCTCCCACAACAGCGGGTCCCTCCTGGCACTGCCCCCACAGCCGGAAGCCCCCACAGGGGCTTCTGGCCTGGGACCATATGGCTGCCCTGTGCTGGAACCTCAGTTGCGGGGGGAAGGGCAGGGAAGGAGCCCAGGGAAAAGCTGAGTGCAGGGTGTGGGGGAGCGGTCCCATGGCCGGCACTTCCTGCTGCAGCCACTCACAGCCCTCCTGGGGCTGCCTGTGCCTGCTCTGGACAGCCCCGCGTGGGCTGCGAGCGGCTGCAGCAGGGAGCGCTGGCCACGGGGTGGATGAGAGGCTGCTTTCTCCCCCCCCATACTCAGCTTTTCCTCAGGCTCCTTCCCGGTGCGGAGGAAAGTGGCCCCTCCCCCGCCCCATGGCTTGGTGCTTCCTGCTGCAGCTGCTTGCAGCCTGCACGGGGCTGTCCTGAGCAGGCACAGGCAGCCCCTCATGGGCTGTGAGGGGCTGCAGCATGGGGCGACAGCCATGGGGCAGGTGAGGGGCCGCTTTTC